CCGGATGAAAAAGAGATGAGGGGAACACGCGCTGGCCGTATCGGCCGTATCGATTAAACTGCGAATTGCGAATTGCGAATTCGCGCGTTGGATTCAGCCCTCCCGCTACGATATCCGATGTATTATTGTTTCAAGTTACGGCAGGCGGTGCGATTGATCATGAAATTAATCGCTGTACTGCCGCTGTCGTTGGCAATATTGATATAATTTCATACAATCAATAATTTACTACGTAAATTATTGCACTCGAGAGAAAAAAAATGCTTAAATATATAATTACGTCGTGCGAGAATTCTTTGTGTCTCCGTCAGCTCGAGGCATTTTAATCACACGATATCGTTACCGCAACTGAATTTCACCGTTTCGCAATATTTTCCGTTATAAATACTCGTAATACTCCCCATTGTGCGTTCGCATCGGATTTTTAACGCGACGGAGACTCATCGTTGACAAGCCGCGAAATAATTTTGCTCGGTACTTCTTGCATCGATAATTACTGAAAGGAAAAAAAAAAGAATTCGCAGTTATACGCGCGTATAATTGCGTTATTGTTTGTCACCGAGAGGATTACGCATGTACGAGTGAATCGCGCTTTAATCCCGTCGCGCCGTCGTATATCGTCATCCCTTTCCCTTTCCCGGGATTAAAAATCGTGGTCGCGCAATGTTTCGCGGCTCCGCTGAGCGCCGCCGCAACCGATATAGTCAATTTATGACCTATCTCATACTTTTGCGCAAGACGCGCGACAAACACTCTCGATCTTGCGCTGCGCGCTGTCAAAAGCGAAAAGCGGCAAGCGGCGACAGTGCGAGAGAGAGAGAGAGAGAGAGAGAGAGACAAGCGATCAGATAGCCGAGAGAGTTTCTCTCTCCCCCCTCCCATTTTCTATCTTTTTTGTCTCTCGGGATGCATGGTGTGAATCTCTTTCAAGTTAAATTGTCGGAGAAACAACCATCATCTCTCTCTCTCTCTCTCTCTCTGTCCTCGCTTTTTTCTCATTTTTGCTCCCTTCCTCGCCACGAGACGCGAAAAGTCCTTTTACGATCGGCAGCTGGTACGTTTCTGACATTTGTATCGCGGACACTGATTGGTTTATGGTTCTCTGTGGCGTTCGTGACTCTCCACCGACCTCGACCTCTCCGTCAATGCATATCCGGTGCACCTCATTCAATTATGTCCCGCGTCTTGCCACGTTATCAGGTATGAAACTGACTAGTGCAATCCAATTATCGTCATGACGGCCGCCGTGTCACGACAAATCGCACTCGGGCAAATTTTATTCAGCTTTTATACGTTACACGGCGTCGTTGGCAACGAGAGCTTTTATTCGAGCCGGCTTAAAAAGAATTACCTCATAAAGAAAAAGGGAGGAAGAGAGAGAGAGAGAGAAACAGAGCGACGGTGACACACGACGGGATTTCAGGCGGACCGTGTACGATTGTGTGCAGTTATATTTGTTCTACAGTGAAACTTTATGTATAAACAGATGAAGTGAAATTTTTCCGCGCGTTGCTACGTTTGTAAAAGAAAAAAGAAAAAAAAAGAGACAAAGCTTAGGACACGAGACGGGGCTAGAGAGATTGCAAATTGTTAAATACGCGGATCCACGGATGCATAAATCTTCACTTGTGTGTTTGATACACACTCTCTCTCTCTCTCTCTCATCAAGTTACACATTGAAATCCGGCAAGCTGTAAATTTATTAATCCACATATTTCGCGCATATATTTCGAGTGTTGTAGCGTCTGGCGCGAAAGTATCTCTTTACGAGGGATAAACACACTTGCAATTTTGGAGTACGCGAACTGAAACGTAATTTCTATATTCTTACGAGACCATTTTGATCGGAAACTTCAGCGTACGAGTCTTGTGTCTCCGTGAGATTTCGCTCGATTCGTTAAATAAATCATCAGCAGCTATTCCAGAACGCGAGTCATCAATTATTATCGCGGCCGCGGCGGGATCAACGAACGGCTAAATTAGCGACACGTCGTCGTCACCGGTGCGAGTCACTTCTTCGCGATCCGACCAGGAAAAAAAAGCGCTCGTCGTTGATCCAATTAGTCGTCGGGATTTTCTCCGTCACCTCGATGTGTTCTTTCTTACTTTCTCTCTCTCTCTCTCTCTCTCTCTCTCTCTCTCTCTCCTCCTGGTGGTGCGGAAATTTTCCCCCTGTAGTCGCGAAAGTCTCGCGGATATTACGCGAGTCACAGTTAGCTCGGCTCCGTCGAGGAACGTTCGCTTCCTCTCGACCGTTTCCGCGTCTTTTTACTCGCGCACCCCCGGACGCTTAAGGGTGGAAGCCGGCTGTAAAGTTACTCAAGCGATAGCTCGCAGTTAAACGTCGAGGCGCGCGCGTTCCCGCGCAGCTCAAACGCGATGCCGTGTCGGTACATATCTCCCTCCGACTATAAACATTCGCCGTCTCCGTCTCTAATTTCACCTAATCAGATATAGTCGTCATAGTTCGTAACACACACGAACACCGGCGGCGACGGTTCAGAGATGGATTATAAAGCGCCCCGAGCGCTCGCACACGCGGTAACGCAAGGTGTTGTGTTTAATATCGAATTAGTGTTTAATTAGTCGAGCAGAGAGAGAGCAGAGAGTCTAATTTCGTTTATCGGGACGCGCTCGGCCGGGTAACGCTTTCCATTCGTAATTGCGAATACTCCGAGGCATCCGAAGCTGCTTCCTCGAGTTTGCGAAAACATTCCTCACACGCTGATACATTGTATACGCGCAGTCTCGCGGTTACAACCCCGAAATGAAAGCTGCCGTTGCGGTGAAAGCCCCCCGAAGCGCTCACTCCCCCTCCTCGCCTGATGTTCGACACGAATCTACCGATACCGTTTAACGGGGAAGCTCGGTGTACATTTGCGTCATTGCGACGCAATGAACCGTCAGTTTTAATACTCTCGGCTGGCAACGTGTGTGCAAAGGACGGAGCGATGCTCACGGCAAATTCACAAAGACGTCATAAATTTACGAGGGGCCGATCGTACGTCTTCGCGAGGCGACGCCTGGCGTCGTTCGGGGTGGTAAATGCGGGGGCGACACCGGCTCTATATCGCCGCTTCTAATTTCCACCGGCGACCTTGGGCAAAGAAATCGTAAATTTTTCACGCCCACTCGCGCTTACTCTACCTGGGCGTGGCGGTGTGTGACTCGGCGAGAAGAAACAGATGGACGGCTGGCCGGACGGACGGACGGACGGACGATGGTTCTCACTCCCTCGGGAGACAAAAGTTTCTCCCATTTTCGCGTCACGTTGCGCAGCGGACCTCCCCCCTGCCCCTCCCGCTCCGGGAACACGCGACCGATCGTTTGTCGCCGGCACTCTCTCGCGGAAAAGTCGCGAGTTTTCGCACGTGCCGGATTTCTCTCACTTTCACTCACGCAACGCGCGAGCGCGAGCTAGCTGCAGAGGCGCTTCCCTTCGGCTTGGATTGGGGTGTGTCGGTGGAAAATTTTCCGGGGAAGGAAATCCGACGGTATCGCCAAGTCGGGGAAAAATACCCTGTGGAGAGGAGTGAGGGTTTCTTCATTGATCTTAATATGTGAACGTTCCTTGTCACATTTTTGTTTACGAGAGAGACTGTAAATCGGCAAAGTGTCGGGGTGTGTGGATAAATTATTTTGCTTTGTAAGCAGGATTATGACGTACAGGTTTTATTACTTAAACTTATCTCCCGCAATATTTCTCATTCCGCGCCCGATAAAAATTGCACGCACATGCTCATTCTTCTTTCACGGTTTCACCATTACCTCGATTTCACCGGAGGGATGAAGGCGAGGAAAATCTCATTCGAATGAGAGCGGCTGACCGCTTTTACTGTTCGGTCTCGTGGTGCGCGCGCGCGGGTTTAAATGTCTTATCGAATTCCGTCGTTGTTTTCCACGACGGGCGCTTTTCACTCTCGTCGCGTATAACTACGCAAATTTCCGAGATCCTGCCGCGGTAACGGCGGCAGCGGAAACCCGTACTTTGCATACCGTCGCCGGGGAAAGTCCGCGGCGTACCCTGTAATCAGAGCACTTTCGCTTCTCCGCGTCAAAGCGTGTTAAGTATTTTCGTACCTTGGCGCAGGTGCGCATCGCCGTACCGCCGGTTTATCCCCCAATTTCGTCTCCATCTCAAGCTCTATTCTGCCTCTCTGTTCTTCTCTCTGCCGACGAAACTGCCACGGCGCTTCAACTCACGATCCTAATTTCAGATTCGCGGGAGAAATAGTGTGCTTATCCTTCATACAATTCTAATTAGACCTCGAATGAGTAAAACTCGAGTCTGCGGCGTGCCTATTAATTCAACGCGGATCACGAAACTAGCGAACGTGAGCGGAAAGAGAGCGAAAACGGAGCGCATGGTTATATCTGTGTCAGCAAACGATCTTGCTGTTAATAAATAAAGATTAATAAGAGAGCCTGCGTCTATGTTTCATAATGCGATATTAAATCGGATAAAATAAAGTGTGCGATATTATCAGGATATTTGAGAGATTATAATGTTCAATGTTCGTTAAATTATAATACATAAATACGGACATTATAAATTCCTGAATATCCTGGCTACGCTGGGGGATATATATATATATATATATATATACTTCAATTTATTTTGCTTAATATTGCACTCTAAAACCCGCACGCGGAGCTCTTATTGGCTCTTTACTTATTAACGTACTTGTTCAGTGCAGACGAGTTTTTTTTTAATCTCATCTCGATCTCCTTGCCAGTTTATCGGTTCTGTTTGTAAGTTCTCCGCTTATTATTCATTAATTAATCTCATGTGTATTCTTAAGGACACACACACACACACACACACACAGATCGTATAAAACACGGATATGAGAAACTATACAAAAACAGCCCGAAGTCCGTTTCACGACTCGACGGATCGTCCTCGATTTCCGAGTCCAATCCAGCCGCTCATTAATTGGTGCTCATCGGCGGAAATGAGGTACGACGTTCAAGGCCGCAAGGTCTCTCTTCTGTCGCAGAATGGACCATGAGGAAACGCGCTGCCGGCTGGTAGCAGACGAGCGGTCGGGCACGCTTGCACCACGTCGCTGGTCCTCGTCGACGCGTTCCCGGTGTCACGTCCAGTCCCGAAGCCGGCAGGTGTCGCGAGCGGCAGGTACGAGCTCGACAGGTGCGATAATCGGGGGTGGCCCGGTCGCTGCCGCCGGGCCGGCGATGCGACGATGAGCTCGCCGAGGGTGCCGCTACCCCTCCACACCCGACCAAAGGTGAGAGAGACAGTCCTCGTCATTTTCCGAGAGAAACTCGCTACCGGGCGATTTTTCCTCCGGCTCTAAGCAGCCTCGCCCTTGATTTCATCCGCGCGATCGTTAATCCCCTCTCCCCCTCCCCCCCCCTCCCCGTGAGCTCACTGCTATTTTGTATCTTTGCGAGAACGATCCTCGCGCGATTCTTGCACTCGGGATGAGTCGAACTCACGGGGGGGGGGGTGAGTCGTCAATTTTAGGACGATGACTCTCTTCCCTTCGTCCCCTTCGCGATTGATCGGATACATCCATCTTCGGTGCGGGACGTGATCGAGTAATTTTGTAACGAGCGCGCGAAGCTGTCGTCACGCGTAATCAAGTAGAAGAAGGCCGTAATTGTAATTGGATAATAACAACCGCGATGTCCTTCGGTCATGCAAATCTTCGGGAGAATTGTCGAAAGAATTCGAGTAACATTCGTTAATGGAATCCACACACGCGCAGCGTCCGCTGCGTGTGCGCTGCCTGTCTACTGCGCGACGGTAAATCCTCCCGTCTCGTTAAACGCTTTTTAATTCAAATTGAAACGCTAAGCGGTCGGGAGCGACGCGTCATATCTTAACCAAAGTTGACTCATCCTCGAGTAAGTTGTCACTTTCCATCGGCGCGAGCTGTCCTTGTTCGGGAAGAATTTTTAACAAAGTTGCGTCGAGCGAGCCGCACTCGCGCCGATCATCAATCAAACTTTGAGCCGAGCAACCTCGTGACACCGCACGGACACTGCCTCGATCCTCCGTTCTTCAGACCTTCGATTTTCGCGCGGCCGGGCCGCGCTGACGAGACGGCTCCGCGTCGGCTCGCGAGCACGCCACGAGATCTGGAGAACCGCGTGACAAGACAAAAGGGCATTGTTAATGTGAGTGGCGCGGCAGCTGGATACGTGCCTAAGTCTTTCAACTTTGTGTCCCGGTAGCCCCGCGTAGTAGCAAGGCCGGGTCGTCTCAGGAACCGCCGCGGCGAGGCCGAGCGACGAGGAGGCGCGACAGGAGGCGCTTCAAGGCCGAGACTACCCGCGTGGCCATGGACCACGAGGCGAGGAACGGAACCGGCAGCAACGACCACGGCGAGGAGTTCACCAATATTTACTTCATCGTCGGCGACCGCATGGAGACGGCCGCTTACAAGGCGAACCAGGTCACGGACATGGAGCTCAAAGGTCAGTGGAAACTTGCGGCTTACCTGTTTCTCATTCGTCCCGCTTGGGGGACTCCTCTCCGTTCCTGAGAGAAAGAGAGAATTTCTTCATGCGTTTCGGCGTCGAATTCGCGAGATGCGGACGACGACACGCTGAGGAACATGCCGCGACGGTAGCGTGGAATGGGAGGCGCAACGGGAGGTATCGCGTTGAAAACGAGGAAACCGAAAGTTATCATCGTCTATTCTTTCCGTACATATCGTCTCCGATGCGTTTCCGATGATAGTTTTGATAGCACGAGACGTCTTAAAATCATTCTGGACGTGTCCTAAATCTTTCCTTTAATGTTCAATTTTTGAAAAGCTTTGTATCGACATGTAGTGTCAGTATCTCTCGTAAGTGCTACGTATTGATCGACTAAAGATTCTCGACGCGTCGAGCGGCACGCAGACAGGAGATTTCTCAATCGACTCGTGCTCGCTCTCTCTCTCTCTCTCTCTCTCTCTCTTAGATCAGACCAAGTCCGCGGCGAAGGCGTATCGCGGCAATTCGAAGTTATCGCTCGTAGAAATTACATTAGACGTCGCACACCCTTGAAAGTTTCATCCTTGGTGCCGAGGCTCGCGCGGTGAACGCCGCAATTACGGATTGAGCGAGATTCATCGTCGATCCCCGGAGGAATTAAATTTGCGATTCGCCGCTCTCTCTCTCTCTCTCTCTCTCTCTCTCTCTCTCTCGACTGTCGCGAGGTGAGTGAAGAGCCAAGACAAAAAAGAGGAGAGGAGCGAGCGCGTTTTCGAAAACGGTCGTTCATCGTGCACGAAGCACACTTGGTCGTTCATTAATCTCGCCGACGACGACGCCATGAGAGAGAGAGAGAGAGAGAGAGAGAGAGAGACATTTTATTCGGGTAACTTAACGCTCCCCTCGGCGTGTATAACTTAACTCTCACACAGCCGCGTCTCCATCGCGACGGCTTTTCGCTCGTGAGCTTTCCCCGCGCGTCGAGGGTAGTTCCTCGGCGGGCTAAATGCGGCGTCGCGACGCGACGCTCCGCGACGGTGACTATTTATCGGCGAATATTTGACGCGTTCTCAGGATTTAAGCAATTATCGATCGCGCGCGACGCACCGAGCTAGCCAATCCCGGTTGAGACGTTCGTTCGACGCGTTCGCCCGTGTGTGTGTGTGTGTGTGTATGAAAGCTTACCGTCGTCGGAGCACTACCGAAATTATGTTTGCACACACTTCACCTTCGTACCGTGACCTATCGACCGCGCGGGGCCTATCGCCGCGCTCCATCCTGTGGAACCCGGTGTGGAGTGGCTGACCGGCCGCGGCGCCGTCTGCAACCCTGCCTGTCTGCCGGACGAAACAGCACGAGCACGCACTTGTCGTCGTCGTCGTCGTCGTCGTCGTCGTCGTCGACACACGCCGTGTACTCTTTCAACCCTCTCGTCGACGGGATAATTATACCGCGCGTTTGAGGACTACTCGGCGACGACCGCGTCGACGGTTTCGAGAGCGCCGGCGGAAGAGCCTGCGCCTGGAGTAGAGGAACCTCGCGCTGAGGAGTCGCGCGAGGTTTTCCCGCGAATTTCCCAGCCCCCTCGTCGTCCCCCGGCCTCGTTGTGCCTGTGCATATCGCATCGCGATTTTCAAGTTTGCCAGATCTGCTTCCCCCTCGCGCCCCGTTTGCCCGCTTAATAGCACTCTCGTCATCCTACGATTTGGTTGATGTTTTTTTTTTTCATTTCTTTCTCTGTATTGTTTGCATCTGTAACGCGCGCTGCAATTTTATTTACATGGTGATATAAAAGACCCGGTTGCGCGTTGGGCTATCCACGTGGCGTGTAACGTTGTTTAATTAACCCCTTTGCGCGCCCCGTGTGTTCTCTCTCTCTCTCTCTCTTTTTTTTCATTTTATCATTTGTTCATATATGTGGACCGCGTTGTTGGCGCACGGATAAACCGCGTTCGGAGCGAAAAATTCTCCTTCCGCGATTTATTCTCCTTCGTGCGATTTATCTGCGACGACGCCGCACGGCGCTCTCGTCCTCCGGAGTAGTCCTCCAGAACTAGCGTGACAAATGCGTTTTAACGAGTGCGTTTAGCGGTCTAATTAAATCGTTCGAGCGTTGAGCGTTCCAATCCATTTCTAATTTAAATCGCTCGCTGCGCGTAAAAGAGCGGTCCCCTCACTGGTCCGAGATATACGATATGATACATTAATTTCCATTATTATCGTCTCTCGTTGAAAATTAACCGTTGGCGATGCGATGTTCCAATTTTCGATGTACGTTGACCGCTAATTACTCGCGCATGGAATGGCTATAACGCCGCGCGTTGATTAGTGCCGTAGTCGCGATCGCGATCGATGCCGGCATTGTGCGCGGAATTTAACGACGTATTACTTGTTGTACCGGACTGCATTACGTAATTAAAATTCTAATGCGGTTGTAGTATGCGTGTGCGCTCGCGCCAGTCAAGGGAGATAGCTTTGTCAACGTCGGTGTTACCGGCGGCGGTTACACGACGCTTATACAAAGTCACACTACACGTCGACAAGTCGTCGTAGCTTTATCTTGCGGTGTATCACCGACCTGAGTGACACGGTCCTGAAGCAGAGACACGTCCGGCCCTCTCGTTAATTCTCCCGTGTTGGGCAATTCGGCGACGTGAAGAACGCGCGCTCATTTAATAAGTCGTCGACGCTCCGACGACTTGACAATCGAAAGTCGCGCAGCGAAGAAAGAGATCGCGCTCGGAGGAGAGACGGAACAACATTTCTGGCTGTTGCGAAAAGAATTTCGTTCGTAGTAACCGGAAATTTAGTGTTCTCTTCGGCAAAAAGTTGCTCGGCTCGCTCTCACTGTCTCGCTCGTTGATTCAACGAGTCTTGTTTCTCCGCGCGTCATCCGGAAGAACGACGTAATATTCGCGCGCAGTGCCTTGTTGTTGGAGAAACGAGCGACTTGCTCTTGGCTGCGGATTACGCGAATGCCTCTTGTCGTCGAGCGTCTTCTCTTCTCGTCGAGAAGAAAGGCGATTGTCTCGGCACCGAGGTATTAAGCACGCGATCTGCGTGCTTGCCCTCAGCAATAGCCGCGCGCGAGTCTCGATGTTTGGATCTGAAAAGCTCGACGTTCTTCTCGCTCCGTTTCGACGCTGTTGTGTGAAAAACGCGACGTCGTTTCAATCGGCCGAGGAAAGGTCGACACAGGTCGACACTGCAGTAGATTGATTTTATTAATTCACGCAATTAATCCCACATAATAGATTAGTGTTATAAACAAACGAGTACACACGCGTCGCAAATTGCAATTTACATTGCGATCGTGTCTTTGGTTTGGCTTGAATTGTAAAAAAATCAACGTGGCAGTTGACGCAACCTCGTTTCACCTCGACGACGTGATATTTCTTCAAGTTGGATTTCGTCACGATGAGTGGGCATGTCCACGCAAGTCGAAAATCTCACTCAATACGACTTGCCGCATATGAGGATATTGACGATCGCCGCGCGGGAAGCAGCATTTTACTATTCTCGGCCGTTGGGTGACGCGCGTGGCGCAAACGCTCGCCGCGCTGGAAAGGTTAATAAAAAAGAAAATTTTCCATAGCGTCCTGCCGCGTGCGCGCGTGCAAGTTCTCCTGTTTCTATGGGACCGCCGCTCACACGCCGTCCTCGTGCCATCCTCGTTCCCTCTTCGCGCGGTCGTTTCCACTCAACTAATAAAAAGCCTTTCAACGAGGCCGTCTCTCCGCGAAAAAATATGTGCCGCGCGAGGATGCCGCTATGCGCTATCGCGACGAATTAATTTCTTCGGCCGAGAGTCGAAGTTCCATGCTGGGGAAAAGTCTCTTCTTTCCCTCTCTTTTATTCTCCTCTCCTCCTTCTCTCGGCGCTTGCCTCTCACTCCCTCGATCACGGCCAACTGCACGGGAAACTGCACGCGTCTCCATTCCGTACCGAACCGAGGCGAGCCTAGATTTTCCCGATAATTATCCATCGGGCTATAACCAGCCGAGCCGAGATAGTCGGCAAAAAAGGAAAAAAACTGCGGCGATGCGAAAGTATAACAAAAATAATGAGAACTTTTCGTTCTAATTGTACATTTTGCTTTCCCGCGACGCGAAAATGTGTCGAGCTTTTTATCCAGGTTCTTCGCGCAATCTCCCGAAGGGCTGTTAAAGCGGAGCTGACCGAACTGGAAAATCGAATGAGAGAGAGAGAGAGAGAGAGAGGGAGGGGGGGAGGGAAGGAGAAGAGAAGAAAAGAGAGAAAGAAAGATGGAAAGAAGAAAGGAAAAGAGTGAGAAAGAGAGAGAGAGAGAGAGAGAGAGAGAGGGAGAGAAGGGTGCAGCCCTAAATGTCTCCAGACGGCGGTGGAGGCCAACCACGTCGCTCGACATATGAACTCTCGCTTTCGACCGTTTTATCGATCATAATCGGAATTGCACCCCCACTCTTCCTCTCGTTCTCGATGGACTTATTTCCCAGCGAGATGGGATGCTCGCTGAGGAAAGAATGCGAGTTCGAGTGACGTCCGAACTTCACTTGGGGAGGATGGGCGAAGGATGGAGGGGAAGAAAAGAACGCGCGTTTTGTCGTCATTTTCCTCCCGTTTCGGGACGTTTCTCCCCCATTTCCGCTCGGCGAATTCCGCGAGCGCGCGCGCGCGCGCGCGCGCCCGGCCGATGCCGATCGATGCCGGAATTTTCGAGTCAACACTTTTTCTCTTGTTCTCGCGAGTCTTCGCGTCCGCTTCGCGTGATCGTCGGCCTGCAAGAACCTGCAAGCTCATCTTGAAATTGTCCGCGCGAAATTGTGCGCGCACGGCCGCGGATTAAACGTGCGAGGAGCACAAAAGATAGATTTTGCTTTGTCAGGGGCCTGATAAGCGTCAAACGTGTCCAGTTTTTGCTTCAGTTTCAGATGCCGCGTCGCGCGGCCGGCACCGCACCGGTTGCACAACCCGCTGACATTTTTCACCGGCCGTTCGTCGTCGTTTCTCATTTTCCT